TCTATAGTCTATTCTATAGTCTAGTCTATAGTCTAGTCTATAGTAGTCTATAGTCTAGTCTATAGTCTAGTCTATAGTCTAGTCTATAGTCTAGTCTATAGTCTAGTCTATAGTCTAGTCTATAGTCTAGTCTATAGTCTAGTCTATAGTCTAGTCTATAGTCTAGTCTATAGTCTAGTCTATAGTCTAGTCTATAGTCTAGTCTATAGTCTAGTCTATAGTCTAGTCTATAGTCTAGTCTATAGTCTAGTCTATAGTCTAGTCTATAGTCTAGTCTATAGTCTAGTCTATAGTCTAGTCTATAGTCTAGTCTATAGTCTAGTCTATAGTCTAGTCTATAGTCTAGTCTATAGTCTAGTCTATAGTCTAGTCTATAGTCTAGTCTATAGTCTAGTCTATAGTCTAGTCTATAGTCTAGTCTATAGTCTAGTCTATAGTCTAGTCTATAGTCTAGTCTATAGTCTAGTCTATAGTCTAGTCTATAGTCTAGTCATAGTCTATCTATAGTCTAGTATATAGTCTAGTCTATAGTCTAGTCTATAGTCTAGTCTACAGTCTAGTCTACAGTCTAGTCTATAGTCTAGTCTATAGTCTAATCTATAGTCTAGTCTATAGTCTAGTCTATAGTCGAGTCTATAGTCTAGGCCATAGTCTAGTCTATAGTCTAGTCTATAGTCTAGTCTATAGTTTATACTAATTTTTCTCAACAATATTATTTGTGTACGATTACTTTTTTGCTTCACTGTGTTGATGTTTATGTAAATGAGTTTAAAAGGAATATGCCTTCAAGATTTGTTAAGATGTCTATAATATTTTTTACACAAAAAAAAGTCCATTAAAGATAAACTTTTTTGCGAAACATTTTGTTTAACATTTCCTGACAGTTTAATATTTCTACGCACATTTCGCAAAAAAAGTACAACATTTGCGAAAACATACATTTTGTAATATGTATTTTTTAAAATAAACCTCAAGGCTTAACTGCAAAACTCTAAAAATTAACAACGAAAATTGCTTTAAAAGGAAATCTATTCAAAAAACATTTAAACTATATCTTTGTTATGGTAAAAACTTGTTTAAACGAAGATTAACTTACTATAGGGTTATTAAACCTAAAGCTTTTGTTTTCATTTATTATTGTAAACCACTTAAATACTTGTTGTCTTTTATAAGATTTTCTATAGAAAAAAATACATTGCCCTCATTTCCGGTAAAATCAATTGAAACAAATTTTCTTTTCTATTCAATTGATTTTCTACACCACCCCCTCTACGCAATAGTAAATTCACACACACACATCTTAAGTTACTTATGCTCAATGCACTTTATTATTTGCAAAATAAAGTCTTTGTTCCCGGGGATTTATTGGTTCGCCCCCCCCTCCGCCACACTGCCCTTACAAATGCTTGATCAAATACAATAGATTAAACATACACAAGTTGTTCTAATAATCTTTTTTGTCAAAGTCAATTTTTTCTAAGCAAAGAAATGGTCGTATCTAGTAGTTTCCGTTCTGTATGTTGTATTTCCTTCATAAGTTTTAAGACACCCTTTTGTTTCGTCTTAATATTTTTCTTTTCGCTCTAAAATAAATTGATTCATAAATGTAGTTATAAGAAAAAAATTTCCATTATCTTTTCAAAAATGTTCTGAAAATTAGGGATGCTGTTAGCTGGTTGCTATTGTCTAGCTGTATGTAAGATTTCAATTGTCCAAAGTGGTGGTGGGAATCATCATCATGTTAAAATTAATAAAATAAAATGCTATTAGAATAAAATAAAATGGAATTTGAGACCAAATATTGAAGTTTTAACAAAATAAGAGGATTAAAAAAAAAATGACTTCCTACCCTTTACAGACACCCTCACATTCCTTAAAAGCTAAATAAATTTATAGACAAAGTATATGGTAAAAGTATATGGTACAAAGTATATAGTACAAGTATATGGTCTTGACTCTAGGCTATCTATAGACTCTAGTCTAGTCTATAGAAGTCTAGTCTATAGTCTATAGAAGTCTAGTCTACAGTCTATAGAAGTCTAGTCTATAGTCTATAGAAGTCTAGTCTATAGTCTATAAACTAGCCTATAGTAGTCTATAGTCTAGTCTATAGTAGTCTCTAGTCTAGCCTATAGTCTAGTCTCTAGTCTAGTCTATAGTCTAGTCTATAGTCTAGTCTATAGTAGTCTCTAGTCTAGCCTATAGTCTAGTCTCTAGTCTTGTCTATAGTCTAGTCTATAGTCTAGTCTATAGTCTAGTCTATAGTCTAGTCTATAGTCTAGTTTATAGTCTAGTATATAGTCTAGTCTATAGTCTAGTCTATAGTCTAGTCTATAGTCCTAGTCTATAGTCTAGTCTATAGTCTAGTCTATAGTCTAGTCTATAGTCTAGTTTATAGTCTAGTAGTCTAGTCTATAGTCTAGTCTATAGTCTAGTCTATAGTCTAGTCTATAGTCTAGTCTATAGTCTAGTCTATAGTCTAGTCTATAGTAGTCTAGTCTGCTATAGTCTAGTCTATAGTCTAGTCTATAGTCTAGTCTATAGTCTAGTCTATAGTCTAGTCTATAGTCTAGTCTATAGTCTAGTCTATAGTCTAGTCTATAGTCTAGTCTATAGTCTAGTCTATAGTCTAGTCTATAGTCTAGTCTATAGTCTAGTCTATAGTCTAGTCTATAGTCTAGTCTATAGTCTAGTCTATAGTCTAGTCTATAGTCTAGTCCTATAGTCTAGTCTATAGTCTAGTCTATAGTCTAGTCTATAGTCTAGTCTATAGTCTAGTCTATAGTCTAGTCTATAGTCTAGTCTATAGTCTAGTCTATAGTCTAGTCTATAGTCTAGTCTATAGTCTAGTCTATAGTCTATCTATAGTCTAGTCTATAGTCTAGTCTATAGTCTAGTCTATAGTCTAGTCTATAGTCTAGTCTATAGTCTAGTCTATAGTCTAGTCTATAGTCTAGTCTATAGTCTAGTCTATAGTCTAGTCTATAGTCTAGTCTATAGTCTAGTCTATAGTCTAGTCTATAGTCTAGTCTATAGTCTAGTCTATAGTCTAGTCTATAGTCTAGTCTATAGTCTAGTCTATAGTCTAGTCTATAGTCTAGTCTATAGTCTAGTCTATAGTCTAGTCTATAGTCTAGTCTATAGTCTAGTCTATAGTCGAGTCTATAATCTAGTCTATAGTATAGTCTATATTGTAGTCTATAGTGTAGTCTATAGTCTAGTCTATAGTGTAGTCTATAGTCTAGTCTATAGTCTAGTCTATAGTCTAGTCTATAGTCTAGTCTATAGTCTAGTCTATAGTCTAGTCTATAGTCTAGTCTAGTCTAGTCTATAGTCTAGTCTATAGTCTAGTCTATAGTCTAGTCTATAGTCTAGTCTATAGTCTAGTCTATAGTCTAGTCTTAAGTCTAGTCTATAGTCTAGTCTATAGTCTAGTCTATAGTCTAGTCTATAGTCTAGTCTATAGTCTAGTCTATAGTCTAGTCCATAGTCTAGTCTATAGTCTAGTCTATAGTCTAGTCTATAGTCTAGTCTATAGTCTAGTCTATAGTCTAGTCTATAGTCTAGTCTATAGTCTAGTCTATAGTCTAGCCTATAGTCTAGTCTATAGTCTAGTCTATAGTCTAGTCTATAGTCTAGTCTATAGTCTAGTCTATAGTCTAGTCTATAGTCTAGTCTATAGACTAGTCTGTAGTCTAGTCTATAGTATAGTCTATAGGTTAGTCTATAGTCTAGTCTATAGTCTAGTCTATAATCTAGTCTATAGTCTAGTCTATAGTCTAGTCTATAGTCTAGTCTATAGCCTAATCTATAGTCTATTCTTTAGTGTATTCTACAGTCTATCCTATATACTAGTCTATAGTCTAAACTATGTTCATTCTACAATCTAGTCTACAGTTTTGTCTATAGTCAGCTATGGTCCAATCTATAGTTTATTCTACAGTCTAGTATATAGCCGAGTGAAAAATTTAGTCTATTTAGCAGTCTACAGTTTAGTCTATAGTATAGTTTGTAGTCCATGTATAGTCTAGTGTATTATTATGGTCTAGTCTAATATAGACTATAATCGCGTATTTAGATTTTTTGGAGTGTTTTTTTTTTTCAAGTTATTTTTTTAATTTTTTTTAAATACAAAGTATTACTTCATGTAGTCGCTTTTCTCGTTAAAGTCTTCATTTATTAAAATTTTATTCAAATCACATTTACTGACAACGTCGAAATTCCTGCTAAAAAAAACTGCCAGCCAGCTATATTAATAAAGTAAGTAAATAATAAAGTACAAAAGCAAAAAAAAGAAGACAAAAGACCAAAAAAGTACGAAAAGATATTAAACGAAAAAAGCTCAGTGTAGGAGTACTTACTTACAGTTGGTGGAAAAGAGGGGGGGGCAGTTTTCACGAAAATGTTAAATAATTATGCAAATATTTTTTTTTTGTCGTTAAAGTTTTTAAAGAATATTGTTTAAAAAGAATGTTGAGGTTGAAAAAAAAATTAAAAATTCGTCACGCTTTTTTAGACATAATATTGAGAATTAATAATGAGTGATTTGTTATTAAACAAAAATTATTTAAAAACACTTTATAGTAAACAAATAAATTTTTTTTAAACACTAGATCCAAAAAAAAAAAATATTTATTATATGAATCACTTTCCCCCTTTTGTTTAAACACATTTCCCCTAATTTCCTTTAGTGTTTTTTTAAGTTTTTATTTTAAATGAAAACTAAACAAAACAAATACAAAAAGACGTGAGAATTTAACAAATTCTAGTCACGTTTACAACAACTATTTTTGTAGTTTAGCCGTAAACTAACTAAAAGCAAAGACTACGTACCACCAACTAGTACTTGCAGTAATAGTTCATATGTAAGAAAAACTTGTGTTAGGGAAAAAAAGTGTTAAATTAAAATTTTTTTATATTCTTTTTCCTTTTAACCCTGGTGTGTGGCTTAAATGTCAGTTGAAAATTTATGGTTTTACTATTTAAAGATGTATTTCTTATTTCCATTGTTCTGTTGTTTCTTATAATTATTACTCACCTTCAACTTTAGCTAATGCCAAAACCGAAATCGTTTGCAGAGCTGGTATAGCCCAGGCTACAAGATGAAAAAGATGTGATTTATTTTCAATGGCTTCGTGACCCCATTTGAGACCAGCAGCCAAAAACCAAGCAAATGCCAAACATGACCACCAGGCAAAGGCCGCCATACAGCAAAAATATAAAGCCATAAAGAGTACAGTACAGGCGGTTGACTGGCGATGACCCTAAAATAATAGAAAAATAAGTTTGAAGAAAATAAAAAAAAAAATTTTAAATTAATGAACAAATTTTATAAATTACTTCAACTTACTTGTGTTATAGTGGACATCATTTGTAATCTACCCAGTCTAACTGGTGGTGGAAATGGTTCGCGACAGGATACTGAATCACCGGCTCCTAAACCGGCTACATAAGCACAACCCACCACCAAATAGCAAACTGCTAAAAAGACTATAGCTCTTTCGGGATAACGAAAACGTGAGGAATCTATGAGGAAAGTAAGGACCTGAAAAAGTAGAACAAAATATAAAAATTAAAAAAAGCTTCTCGAAAGCTTTTGTATAAAATTATTTTTTTTTAAGTATAAACAAGTTTCTTATAATATTTAATGTCAAAAACAGCTGTTTCTTTGTTTTAAGAAAATTTTTTAAAAAGCTTTTGGAGAGTTTTTTAAACTAACAAAAAAGCTTTTTGAAAGCTTTTATACAAAATTATTTTCTTTAAGTATAGACAAGTCTCTTATAATATTTGATAACAAAAATAAAATTTTCTTTATTTTTTTTTTAATTTTTGAAAAAGCTTTTGGAGAGCTTTTTTAAAAACTACAAAAATTTAATCTAAAACTATACAAATAAAAGAGAAAACGATTTTTAAATAAAAAGCCAACGTTTAACACATAAAAAACAAAAAAGCTTTTAGAGAGCTTTTATAAATTTTTGTTTCTTAAAGTTTTTTTCAAGTTTCCTATAATGTACGTTATAAAAACAATACTTTTTATTTGTTTCTTGAATTTTTTTTAATTTTTTAAAAAGCTTTCGTAGAGCTTTTTCAAAAAATTTTATCTAAAACTATACAAATAAAAGAGAAAATGATTTTTGTATAGAAAGTCAACGTTTAGCTCATAAAAAACAAATAAGCTTTTAGAGAGCTTTTATGAATATTTGTTTCTTAAAGTTTTTTTTTTTGTTTCCTATAATGTACGTTATAAAAACGATGGTTTTTATTTGTTTCTTGAAAAATTATGAAAAAGCTTTTGCAGATCTTTTATAAAAAATCATAATATAAAACTAATTTAAAAAGTTAAAAACTAAAATAAATGATAAAAATTAAATAAAAAATCAAAAAAAAAAATAAAAATCAAAAAAGCTTTTAAGGAGCTTTTATAAAAATTCATTATCATGAAGACTTGACAAATTTCTTATAATGTTTGATGCTAAAACGATGTTTTTAATTTATTTCTTGAAAATTTTTGAAAAAGCTTTCGTAGAGCTTTTGCCCAAAAATGTTAATTTCATTATAAAAACTAATTTAAAAGGTACAAAAACTAAAATAAATTATTTTTGAGTAAAAATCTAAAGCTCAACACTTAAAATAACAAAAAGCTTTTTGAGAGCTTTTATAACAACGTATATTCATAAGGGTTAAAATTGTTTTTTAAAGAAATTCGAAATCAAAACAAAGTTTTCCATTTATTTCTAAAATATTTTTGAAAAAAGCACTTGAAAAAGCTAAAAGCTTTATAAGAGCTTTTATGAAAAGTTGAGTTAAAAGCTATATTTTGTGTATACTTTAATAAATTTCTTAAGGAATACTAAAATAACTTTATTTTTAAATGTTTTTAAAATAAAACACTTAACTTTTAAAAAAGCTTTTAAAGAGCTTTTACAAAAAAGTATGCCTTAGTGTTACAAATAGATTTTCAATGAAAAATGGCGACTAGGGCGGTTTTTTTATTGATTTAGTACAAAAATAGGAAAAAGCTTTTTGAGAGCTTTTATAAAAACTTAAATTTTTAAAGGTTATAAATTCATAATTCATATTTGATTAGAACTAGCAATTTATTTTTACCGCAAATAGCCTAAAATACCAAAATGATTCCTTAAATTTCCAAAAGCTTTTATAATAAATAAAACAACCTTTTTGAAGTATATGGCATATTTAAGTGAGCTTTTTAAGCTTTATTCAAATATTTCAAAATAGTACTTTAACTTCAGTTTTAAACTTTTTCTTTATGTATCTTTAGTTGTCAACTGCGTAGGTGTTTCCCTGTTAGTTTATGGTCAAATGATAATTAAATCTCAAACTGTGACAGCTGTCATAACACATCTTGAAAGCTCATTTATTTTAGCTAAACTTTTTTTTTTTGTATTTTTTTAACTTTTTCTTCTCTGCACGAAAACAAAGAAGGGACATAGCTAGTAGTGTACTATTTCTTCTCTTACAAGATTGTACGTTTCTTGTGTATAAAAATTACTTAAGTTCTGCATAATTTATTTAAACTACGCATTTATGCAAATTTTTTTAAACAAAACAAAAATGCGAGAAACAAAAAAAAAATGTACTTCAACAGAAAACTACACCCACTTTTAAAACAAAAAAAAAAATACTTGAGAATACAAAAAAAATTATGTAAATAAAATACTAAAACCAACAGAAAAAGAGTTATTAAGAAATGTTTAAACAAAAACCTGGTCGTAAATTACAGAAATATTAAAAAAATGTATAATTTATAGTGCGTTAAAATTATAACCGAAATTGTGAGCTTTTAAATTGTTTTTTAAAATGTACAATTATAAAAACAATAAAAAATGTTGAAGCTCAAAAAATCTACTTTGAAGTTGGAGAAAAATGTGCTGTTTTTAAGGCTGGTGCCGAAAACGCGTTCGTTCAAACGCACCAAAAACCTCACCCAATCGGGTAAATTAAAGAGGAGAGATATTAACCTTTAAAATGGCATAAATGTTAGACCATAGTCAAGACCATAAACTAGACTATAGACTAGACTATAGTTTAGACTATAGACTAGACTGTAGACCAGACTATAGACTAGACTGTAGACTAGACTATAGACTAGACTATAGACTAGACTATAGACTAGACTATAGACTAGACTATAGACTAGACTATAGACTAGACTATAGCCTAGACTATAGACTAGACTATAGACTAGACTATAGACTAGACTATAGACTAGACTATAGACTAGACTATAGTTTAGACGATAGACTAGACTGTAGACCAGACTATAGACTAGGCTATAGACTAGACTAGAGACTAGACTATAGACTAGACTATAGACTAGACTATAGACTAGACTATAGACTAGACTATAGACTAGACTAGACTAGACTATAGACTAGACTAGACTAGACTATAGACTAGACTATAGACTAGACTATAGACTAGACTATAGACTAGACTATAGACTAGACTATAGACTAGACTATAGACTAGACTAAAGACTAGACAAGACTAGACTATAGACTAGACTATAGACTAGACTATAGACTAGACTATAGACTAGACTATAGACTAGACTATAGACTAGACTATAGACTAGACTATAGACTAGACTATAGACTAGACTATAGACTAGACTATAGACTAGACTATAGACTACTATAGACTAGACTATAGACTAGACTATAGACTAGACTATAGACTAGACTATAGACTAGACTAGACTAGACTATAGACTAGACTATAGACTAGACTATAGACTAGACTATAGACTAGACTAGACTAGACTATAGACTAGACTATAGACTAGACTATAGACTAGACTATAGACTAGACTATAGACTAGACTAGAGACTAGACTATAGACTAGACTATAGACTAGACTATAGACTAGACTATAGACTAGACTATAGACTAGACTATAGACTAGACTATAGACTAGACTATAGACTAGACTATAGACTAGACTATAGACTAGACTATAGACTAGACTATAGACTAGACTATAGACTAGACTATAGACTAGACTATAGACTAGACTATAGACTAGACTATAGACTAGACTATAGACTAGACTATAGACTAGACTATAGACTAGACTATAGACTAGACTATAGACTAGACTATAGACTAGACTATAGACTAGACTATAGACTAGATATAGACTAGACTATAGACTAGACTATAGACTAGACTATAGACTAGACTATAGACTAGACTATAGCCCAGACTATAGTCCAGACTATAGACCAGACTATCGTTCAGACTATAGACCAGACTATAGTCCAGACTATAGACCAGACTATAGTCCAGACTATAGACCAGACTATAGACCAGACTATAGACCAGACTATAGACTTGATTATAGTCCAGGCTATAGTCCAGACTATAGACCAGACTATAGTCCAAACTATAGACCAGACTATAGACCAGACTATAGACCAGAATATTGACCAGACTATAGTCCAGGCTATAGGCCAGACTATTGTCCAGACTATAGACCAGACTATAGACCAGACTATAGTCCAAACTATAGACCAGACTATAGTCCAAACTATAGACCAGACTATAGTCCAAACTATAGACCAGACTATAGTCCAGACTATAGACCAGACTATGGTCCGGACTATAGACCATACTATAGACCAGACTATAGACCAGACTATAGACCAGACTATAGACCAGACTATAGACCAGACTATAGTCCAGACTATAGACCAGACTATAGGCCAGACTATAGACCAGACTATAGTCCAGACTATAGACCAGACTATAGTCCAGACTATAGACCAGACTATAGTCCAGACTATAGACCAGACTATAGTCCAGACTATAGACCAGACTATAGACCAGACTATAGTCGAGACTTTAGACCAGACTATAGACCAGACTTTAGACCAGACTATAGACCAGACTATAGTCGAGGCTATAGACTAGACTATAGACTAGACTATAGTCCAAACTATAGTCTTGTTCATAGACTATAGCTGTTGTTAGATTTTTACTCCCGAAACTTTTGAGGGTTAATTTGGTTTAAATCGTTTACAAAACCATTTATTTGCATAAATTTACTTGTTTTTTTTTTTCTAAAATAAATGTACAATTTGTTGTGTTATGTTTATTTTAAATTTATTCTATTGTTTATTTATTTGCTGTTTAAATATTGCTTTGTGTCTGTGTGTTTTTCTTCATTATATGATTTTTTTACAAATTTATTTTAAATTTGTTTTTGACCACCTCTTTTTGTTGGTTTTTGTGAACCAAGCTGTTTATAGCAGCACGCCTCTTAACAAAAAATTTACTTAGAAACTCATTATTTCATTCAAACTGTCTGTCTGTCCCTCCTTGAGTTAGAAAATCATTTTCATAATGTTTTCATTTTGTTTTTTTGTTTAAAACATTTGTGGGAGTTTTTAGCCGTTTTTTCGTTAAACATTTTATTGTTTTGTTAAAAATGTTTTCCTTTGTACATTTTCTTTGAAAAATATTTAACAATTTGTCAAAATTAAACTTATTGCTTTTTTATTTGATGTTTGCCATAAAGTAAAGAAATTTAAACGAAACATTTTGTTCCCATGCAACATCATTTGTCAATGGAAAAAGATTAATGGGAAATCATTTGAAAGGAAATAGTTGTAAAGAAAAACTAGTGAAAAACACTCGAGGGTTTTGTAGGGAATGTTCATAGGGAAGGCATGGAATGGGGATTATTGAACTTTGTTGTAAATGTTACACTTGAAAGCAAATTAAAAGCTTTAAAACATTAATTCAAAGCTCCATAAAAGCTTTAAATGATTTTGAATTTAAACAGAATTCAAAATATTGAAAATATTTTTTTTTAATTTACAAAAGCTCTTCAAAAGCTTTTGTATAATTTTTAAATATCTATAAATCTGAAAATCTTTTTAGTATTACGACCTACAAGGGAAATGCATTAACTTTTTTAAAACTTCTTTTTTGTGTGAAAATTTAAAAGCTTTTACATTAAACGCTCCTTAAAACCCAAATTCCAAAATCTGCAGCCCTTTTATGTTGTTTGCCATTTATGGCAAAATATAATTGCAAATGAAAATGTTGACATTTTCAGTTTTCCTTTTTTAGATTTTCTCATGTTTCCAGACATTTTCCTAGTGTTTAGACAACATGTTCATTTTGTAAATAGGAAATTTTTTGGCAAAATGAAAATTGCAGTTAAAAGGCTAAACATCATCGTAGCAAAAGCATCATTAAGACACAGACAAGAGTGTTAAAGCTTGTATGCAGGGGGATTAAAGGTTAGGGAGAGATAAACCCAGCAATTAAGGCAAACAAAAAGCTTTATTTTAGTTAAATCTTTACTTAACTAATGTGATATAATCTTACAAATAAGGAGAGTTCATTAAAATCTGATGAAAGGAAGCTTTAAAGCTTTGCTAGTATGAAAGCTTTTAGTTCAAAATGGACTAAAAAATGATTTTTATATAAAAGCTTTTAGTTAAACGTTTAATAGACAATAATGATTTACTATTTAAATTGCTAAAGAAAGCTTTAAAGCTTTGTTAGGTTAAAAGCTTTCAGTTTAAAGTGAAGCAGAGAATAAGAGGAAAACATAATTCTATTTAAGAAAACTGTATAACGGTGCTAGTCTGAAAGCTTTTAGTACAAATTAAAGTGGAATTTAGTTAATAAAAGCTTTTTTTAAGCTTTGTTAGTAGGAAAGCTGAAATGTAAAATGAATGTGAAAAGAAAAGAAGCCTGATTTAAGAAACGGCGAAGCTTTACTTAAAGAAAAGCTTTCAGCATGAAATGTAATAGAATTTGTAAAGATGAGAATGAGGAGTTATCAAATAACTCATAAAAGAAAGCTTTAAAGCTTGTTATAGGTAAAAACTTTTAGTTTGTAGAAATGCTAAGAATATGGTCTTCAAAGAAATTTATATAAAAAAGCTTTTTAGTTTAAAAAATATAAAAGCTTTCAGTTGTAATTGATGAATTGTGATTTTTTGTTTTTGCAAAATTAAAGGTTTTTGGTCCCATAAAAGAAAGCTTTAAAGCTTGAAATATATAAAAACTTTTAGTTTGTAGAAAAGCTATGAATATGGACTTAAAAGAAATGTGTATACAAAAGCTTTATAGCTTCAAGAATATAAAAGCTTTCAGTTTTAAATGAAGAATAATGATTTTTTTTCGTAATGATAAAGGTTTTTGGTCTTATAAAAGAAAGCTTTAAAGCTTGAAATAGGTAAAAGCTTTTAGTTTGTAGAAAAGCTATGAATGTGGACTTAAAAGAAATGTGTATAAAAAAGCTTTATAGCTTTAAGAATATAAAAGCTTTCAGTTTTAATTGGAGCATTATGAATTTTTTTCGTAATCTTAAAGGAGTTTGGACTTTAGAGACTAAAGAAGACGTTTTGAGGCTTGAAAAACGCTTAAAGCTTATTTGATATAGAAAGCTTTTCAGTTTAAAAACAGATAACGTTTTTGAAAAAGCTTTTATCCACACATTTTTTGCTGGGTTAACCTCCTGTTAGCCTCCTATAACTTTCCTATTTGCCTGCGGCTGCATCATAGTTCATGTTGGTGTCTATATGAACTTAAAACTTTTTGTTGATGGGTGTGTGTGACAAAAATTTGTTGTTTGACTTTTGGGTGTTAAAAAACAATTGATGTGTGTCTGCCGCTGTTGACAAATGAAGTTTTAATGATGTGATCTCATGTCGAAGTGCTCGGTTGTAGTTGTTGTGCTGATTGCAGTTGCTGCTGTTAAATGATAAAATTTGCAACTAATATTTATTTAACACAAACTTTAGAAATATTTGCTGTAAATATAAATAGAAATAACACAAAGCTTTGCATGTTTTTATTTTCCACATAATTAATATTTATGAAGAAAATTTTGTATTTGAATTTATTTATTTATGAATGAATGTCTAAAAGTTTTTCTTGTTATTACAAAGAAGAAAATAATATTTTTCCTTTATTAGGCCTAAAATTATCAAGAAATGTAATTTATCATGAATTATAAGGAACAGGGAAGAGAAGGAGTTAGGGGGAAAATACAAAAGAAATTCAAATCACGTTTTCTGTTTCTAAACATTAATCATCATTGTACATAACGATAATGATGATGACAATAGGATAGAGTGGAAGGTTTTGGTCTCTTATAATGTAAAAGCTTTTAAGTTTTCTACATGCAGACCAACTGCCGTAAATGGCTTCTAAAGTGGTCATAATACTTGCAACAATTTTTATATCAACATGTTGTTGATTGTAGTGGTGTCCCTTTCTTGCTTGTAACTGTGACATGATTTTTTCATTTTCATTTGTAAAGATTTGTAGTCAAAAGTTTCTGTCTACAGTTGTAGTATATCTGTCTGTCATCTGACTAAAACATTTGCATTTTCTGTAGTCAAATATTAAAATATCAAATTTTACCTAATGCAGCAAATTTGTATATCATGGTTTTATCTCCAAAAATTGCAGTTATACCCCAAAAAAAAATAGAAAAAAAAAAATATCAAAAACTCTAGTGTACTCAATCTATTTCACTTGTCATGTACAAGAGCTTTTAGTAGAAAAAAAAATAGTAAATAAGATAAATTTATTATTAAGTTTTAATATTTAAACTGATATGACTATATAGCTTAAGTAGTCTAAGCAATTTTATAAGTTTCTTTTAGTAAAAAATGCCATAAAAATTGAAATGTTTTACATAAACTACAAAAAAATGTTGACAAGTTACAACTTGTTAACTAAAAGTAAAGAAACAAATATGAAGGCAATTTTAAACTTAAGAAAGGAACAAGTGTTTTTGGGTTAAAAAATGCTACAATTGCCGTAAATTTAAGATATATGTATAAAAAAAATAAAAAAGCTTTTTAAAGCTTTCTTACATTTCTTCTCTTAAATAGTGAAATAAATCGATTAAAAGTCAAAAATTTTATAAAAAACTAAAAATTTAAAAAATTTTACTTTTTTTGTAAAAGCTCTCAAAAAGCTTTGGCACTTTTGAAAGGCTAAAAACCATAAAATTACCCTAAATCCTGCAAATACCCTTTAAAATATCTTAAAACTAAAAATTTAACAAATTCTACTTTTTTTTTTGTAAAAGCTCTCAAAAAGCTTTCGCACTTTTGAAAGGCTAAATAACATTAAATTACCCTAAATCCTGCAAATACTCCCTAAATCCTGCAAATACTCCTTAAAATACCTTATATATAATTTTCTAAAGAAAATTTTAAAAATTAAAAAAAGCTTTCTTTAAAATTTTCTACCTAATGTTGAAAAAGTATCAGTTTAAAGTAAAAATTTTAATAGTAAACTAAAATTGTATTTAATTAAGAATTTTAAAACGAAAATTCCATTTTTTTGTAAAAGCTCTCAAAAAGCTTTTGCACTTTTAAAAGGCTAAACTACATAAAATTACCCTAAATCCTGCAAATACCCTTTAAAATATCATAAAACTAAAAATTTAACAAATTTCACTTATTTTGTAAAAGCTCTCAAAAAAGCTTTTGCACTTTTAAAAGGCTAAAAAAAACATAAAATTTCCCTAAATCCTGCAAATACCCTTTAAAATATCACAAATATCATTTTTTTAAGAAAATTTTAAAAATTAAAAAAAGCTTTTCAAAAGCTTTCTTAAAATGTTTCTACTAATTTAAAAATATTTCCTAAAATTTTGCTTAAAAGCTAATTTTAAGTGACAAAATCAAATAAACATAAGTTTAATTGTAAAAATTTTTATATTTATAAAAGCTTTTTAAACAAATTTGAAAAGCTAAGAAAAAAGCTTTCTCTTATTTTTGCTGAAAATTTAAATTTTTAAAACAAATTGCAATTTAGAAATTGTAAAAGTGAAAATTTTGCATATTTTTCTTTAATAATTGCCTCAATGTAAAAGCTTTCTGTAAATGTTGCTTAAAAATAGGTTTACAGTTGGAAAATTCAATATAAAAACGTAATTGTAAAAATTTTAATATTTACAAATGCTTTTTAAACAAATTTCAAAAGCTCTGACAAAAGCTTCCGAAAGAGCTTTCTGTTGTTTTAGCTTAAAAATAGGTTTACATTCAGAATATTTAAGGTAAAAACTTAATTTATTGAAATTTTTATTATTTTTCAAAAGCTTTTAATAAAGTTGCAAAAGCTCTAGTAAAAGCTTTCTGTTTATTTTTCATAAATATTAAATTTTTAATAGAAATATCAAGTTAAGAAGTAAAAAAATTAAAAATTTTGATTATTTATTAAAAGCTTTTGAAAAGCTTTCAGCTTTTACTAGCGATAATTGTGTAAAAATTCGGTTTTTAACTTAAATATAGAGAACTTACCGTAAACAAACAGCTAGCCACACATACGGCCGCCCAAGAGCCTACCCAATATCTAAGAACGGTACGTTCTTTTTCAGGGAAAAACATGGCATGACAGGGAGCACCACAGTCGCGTTTATCCTAGAAAGAGGGTAAAAATAATGAAAAAATTTAATAAGATTTTTCTTGTCGTATCAAATAATAGTTAATAAAGCAAAAAATAACATACTTTTAAAATAATTGACAATCCTATAGAATTTAACAAACAAATTTCAGTTATAATATTATTGTAGATAAAACAACAAAAGAACTAAGGTAAAATAATATTTTAGTTAAGAAGCGAAGAAAAAAATAAATAAAGAATCTAAATTTTTATTACATTTGTCTTCCTTTTGTGAAATGTTAGCAAACAAAGCGTAATATTTGTTAAAATCCTCCCTCATCTTCCTACAGGTAAGAAAATAAATTCACATCTACACTCACATGTACTTATACCTTTTGCAATAATAAAACACAAAACAACAAAAAAGTCACATCCTGTTATGGAATTCACTACATATGCCTTAATGTATGCTACAACAAAATTGTTGATGTTTGAAATACAGAAAAATTTTGTAATTGTATATGTTCAGTGAACAAATAATGGAGTATAGTACTTAAAGTACTTTACTCTCCTTCTCCTAATATCGCAAAGCAAACTCCCTCACGAACATGTTTAAACAACAAATAAAATAATACATATAACAAGCACCAGAGAGTAAGTCTATAAAAATTGAAAGAAAGCTCGCTAGCGAAGCTCATTAAAATTTTAAATTTTCTTCTTCATTTTTCAAATCAAACGAAAAAAGAAGATGTTTTACACGCACAACAACAATAACGTTTGTTATATACAGAGAAGCTGCTTTCAAGGAAACGGAAAAAGTAATGTAAGCATTAGATGTATGAGTCTATATAAAAGCAATATTATTTTGTTAAAAATGCGTATTTTAAAATACTCTTGTTCTTTCACCCTTAGATTTTAAGAAAGTGAAAAGCATTGTCTATATTTTAGTATTTTTCCCCAACTTCTATTTTTCGAATATTAAAGCAATATAACTGGAGGGGTTTCAGTGTAATTTTTAGTCTGCGAACTGTGTATAAATTATTTGTAAAATGTTAGAAGTGAAGGTTAAAAGCAATTTGAAAAAAAAAAATTTTTTGGATGGAAAATTATGTCTGTGAAATAGAAAGCCAGAGAATGAGAATTTAAGAAAATTAAAAGGGAAAGTAATTTTATGCTGTTGAAAGCATTTTAAAGGAAAATTCCATAACCCACAAGAAAGAACTAAAACAGAACTAGAACAGAACTAGAGCAGAACTAGAACAGAACAGAACTAGAACAAAACTAGAACAGAACTAGAACAGAACTAGAACAGAACTAGAACAGAACTAGAACAGAACTAGAACAGAACTAGAACAGAACTAGAACAGAACTAGAACAGAACTAGAACAGAACTAGAACAGAACTAGAACAGAACTAGAACAGAACTAGAACAGAACTAGAACTAGAACTAGAACAGAACTAGACAGAACTAGAACAGAACTAGAACAGAACTAGAACAGAACTAGAACAGAACTAGAACAGAACTAGAACAGAACTAGAACAGAACTAGAACAGAACTAGAACAGAACTAGAACGAACTAGAACAGAACTAGAACAGAACTAGAACAGAACTAGAACGAACTAGAACAGAACTAGAACAGAACTAGAACAGAACTAGAATAGAACTAGAACAGAACTAGAACAGAACTAGAACAGAACTAAACAGAACTAGAACAGAACTAGAACAGAACTGAAACAGAACTAGAACAGAACTAGAACAGAACTAGAACAGAACTAGAACAGAACTAGAACAGAACTAGAACAGAACTAGAACAGAACTAGAACAGAAAACAGAACTAGAACAGAACTAGAACAGAACTAGAACAGAACTAGAACAGAACTAGAACAGAACTAGAACAGAACTAGAACAGAACTAGAACAGAACTAGAACAGAACTAGAACAGAACTAGAACAGAACTAGAACAGAACTAGAACAGAACTAGAACAGAACTAGAACAGAACTAGAACAGAACTAGAACAGAACTAGAACAGAACTAGAACAGAACTAGAACAGAACTAGAACAGAACTAGAACAGAACTAGAACAGAACTAGAACAAACTAGAACAGAACTAGAACAGAACTAGAACAGAACTAGAACAGAACTAGAACAGAACTAGAACAGAACTAGAACAGAACTAGAACAAACTAGAACAGAACTAGAACAGAACTAGAACAGAACTAGAACAGAACTAGAACAGAACTAGAACAGAACTAGAACAGAACTAGAACAGAACTAGAACAGAACTAGAACAGAACTAGAACAGAACTAGAACAGAACTAGAATAGAACTAGAACAGAACTAGAACAGAACTAGAACAGAACTAGAACAGAACTAGAACAGAACTAGAACAGAACTAGAACAGAACTAGAACAGAACTAGAACAGAACTAGAACAGAACTAGAACAGAACTAGAACAGAACTAGAACAGAACTAGAACAGAACTAGAACAGAACTAGAACAGAACTAGAACAGAACTAGAACAGAACTAGAACAGAACTAGAACAGAACTAGAACAGAACTAGAACAGAACTAGAACAGAACTAGAACAGAACTAGAACAGACTAGAACTAGAACAGAACTAGAACAGAAACTAGAACAGAACTAGAACCAGAACTAGAACAGAACTAGAACAGAACTAGAACAGAACTAGAACAGAACTAGAACAGAACTAGAACAGAACTAGACAGACTAGAACAGAACTAGAACAGAACTAGAACAGAACTAGAAACAGAACTAGAACAGAACTAGAACAGAACTAGAATCAGAACTAGAACAGAACTAGAACAGAACTAGAACAGACTAGAACAGAACTAGAACAGAACTAGAACAGAACTAGAACAGAACTAGAACAGAACTAGAAACGAACTAGAACAGAACTAGAACAGAACTAGAACAGAACTAGAACAGAACTAGAACAGAACTAGAACAGAACTAGAACAGAACTAGAACAGAACTAGAACAGAACTAGAACAGAACTAGAACATACTAGAACAGAACTAGAACAGAACTAGAACAGAACTAGAACAGAATAGAATAGAAATTATTCGAGAATATTCCGTCTAATTTAAAACAATTCTTAATTTCTCTAAAACTTAGAGAAAATTAAGAGAGTCTAAATTAATCAAATTATGAGCAATATAAAAATATATTACAGATTTGCAATATAGAAATCCGTTTAAAAACAACATTTTTGCAACTTTGTTCCTGTTTGAAATTAGATGAATTTTAGTTTAAATATTTTCTACTTATTCTTTCATCTTTTCTTTAAAAAATTCTTAATTACTGGGCCAAAGATTATTTCAACAAAATAGGGGAAATATTTAACAAAAAAGTTTTACACAGTAATGTAACTTTTTGAAAACAAAAGACTAAACAACAACATATTTTTTCATTTAAAACAAGTAATATAAAGTAAAAAGCAAAAAAATGGTTGTGTTAAATAGTGCCAAACACAGAGAAAACGTTTAAAATATTGTCTTACTAAATTCATATTTTTTCCTTCGTACTTTTTTATTATTACTTTTTCACTTTCTTTAGCATAAACAACCAGAGTGCATAATGACCCTAAAAAAAGTGCCATGATGCATTTAAGCATGCTGTTTGCTGTCATTCATTTCATTCTGCTATCAGCAGCAACAACAACAAATACAATAAAAAGAGCTTAAGAATAAACAAAGATGAGAAAATGAAGAAGTGGAAAAAATGGTCTGGAGCAGTCATGGAAAATTTTAAATTTTGAGAAGGTACCAAAGAGAGTACTTTTCAGGGACAATACTAGACTAGACTATAGACTAGACTATAGATTGGACTATAGACTAAACTAGCTAGACTTAGCTAGACTATAGACTAGACTTATTAGACTAGACTATAGACTAGACTATAGATGACTATAGACTAGACTAAGACTAGAATATAGACAAGACTATAGACTAGACTATAGACTAGACTATAGACTAGACTATAGACTAGACTATAGACTAGGACTATAGACTAGACTATAGACTAGACTATAGACAGACTATAGACTAGACTATAGACTAGACTATAGACTAGACTATAGACTAGACTATAGACTAGACTAATGACTAGACTATAGATAGACTATAGACTATAGACTAGACTATAGACTAGACTATAGACTAGACTATAGACTAGACTATAGACTAGACTATAGACTAGACTATAGACTAGACTATAGACTAGACTATAGACTAGACTATAGACTAGACTATAGACTAGACTATAGACTAGACTATAGACTAGACTATATAGACTAGATAGACTAGACTATAGACTAGACTATAGGCTAGACTATAGACTAGATTATAGACTATAGACTAGATTATAGACTAGACTATAGACTAGACTATAGACTAGACTATAGGCTAGACTATAGACTAGACTGTAGACTAGACTATAGACTAGACCATAGACTAGACTAAGGACTAAACTATAGACTAGACTATAGACTAAACTATAGACTAGACTATAGACAAGACTGTAAACTAGACTGGACTAAACTATAGACTAGACTATAGACTAGACTATAGACTAGACTATAGACTAGACTATAGACTAGACTATAGACTAGACTATAGACTAGACTTAGATACTAAGACTAGACTATAGACTAGACTATAGACTAGACTATAGACTAGACTATAGACTAGACTATAGACTAGACTATAGACTAGACTAGACTAGCTATAGACTAGACTATAGACTAGACTATAGACTAGACTATAGACTAGACTATAGACTAGACTATAGGACTAGACTATGACTAGAACTATAGACTAGACTATAGACTAGACTATAGACTAGACTATAGACTAGACTATAGACTAGACTATAGACTAGACTATAGTCCTAGACTATAGTCTAGACTATAGTCACTAGACTATGTCTAGACTGACTATAGTCGACTATAGACTAGACTATAGTCCAGACTATAGACTAGACTATAGTCCAGACTATAGACTGGACTATAGTCCAGA